TATTTTATAACATAGTTGAGAGCCATCCTTAAACAAAGTTAGTTATAAAAAAATCCTGAAACCTAAAAATTGATTGGTGATTTTAAAAAAATTCCCATTGTTTTTGCCTTTTCATGTCTACTCTTGCCATTTTATTTTTAGAAAAACTGAGTCCCGGTGTCCTCTACAGAGGACATAGCATAACTTATGAATAAAACATAATTTTTCAAAAATGTTATTTTACCATTTTTTTCTTATGCTCTAAACAATGTAATGACATGAAAAAATACTAAATTCACAAAGCTTTTTATTTCTGGTTCTCAGGAGGATATATTTACCGTTTACTGCACTTTGTTACCTGCCTATAGTGGCTAATGAAATTCTTACACAAAATCACTTCCATGCTGAAAAATATGTACATGATGTTATTAATATTGCTCAAAACTTATCTGTGCAGCAACAACACCTTAAAGTGGAACCACACACACTGCTCTTGGTCAGATTTGATACCAAAATGGGTTGCACTCTGTTTTACAGTATGTGCACTTACCTATGGTAACTACATGAGTTAAGGTTAGGTTTAGGAGTAGGGTAGGTTCAGGGTTAGTACCTAGTTATTATTACCCAGTTATTGTAATCACTATAATAAGTTTTGCTGTAATGAAGTGTGCTCTGTTGGATATTGCTCATTTTGGCAAATCTAGCAGCTAATCTGACGCATGTGCATGTAGACACATTTACCTACACTCATTCATTCATTTAAAGAGCACGAGTAACCTTTATTTGTAACTTATTAATAAACTATGCAAACAGCGGCACTTTTACAGTTTATCTAGACACTTACATGACGTCCTTACTAGACATCTCTTCCATCCATTCATCTCTTCTGTTAATTAATTTTTTTTTTCTGTCCTGACACTGCCAGATGTCACAGTATACAATTTAATATATGATATTTTATATCGTTTCTGTTGTTTTTATGGATCGCAGCTGCTCCTTACTGGAACAAGTGGCCTGAAGACCACCTGTATGCCCCAGGAGAGACTGTGAGACTGGACTGTCAGGCTGAAGGGATACCCACCCCAAATGTCACGTGGAGCATCAATGGTGTTCCTATCACAGGTACACAATGCGTCGATTTCAGCCTGCATGACTGATCAGCTGATACAATGTAAAGAGCTGTCTGTAAGCTTCCAAAATACATGGGAACACATGGGATAGAAAGACATTTTTTTTAGTCTCAGCATCATTCTCTTATGTACTTTATTATTATTCTGAAATTAAGTGTTAAAATAGTAACAATAAATAAATTATACACCACTTATAACACCAAGCATACTGTGGGGGAAAAAAGCAACCCTTGATTAAATATACTGAACAATTGAATAATTGAAAAAGCTGCATTAAATGACACCATTGACAGCGTCACCTTGTGGCTACATTTTTCTGATTGGTCTTGTGACTGGCCAATGGCAGCCATGCTTTTCATGATTATAATGGCAACCCAGACAAAGACACTGCAGGCCAGTTTTGAGGTTAATTGGACCAGCAGTTTCTGCAGTTATAGCCACTTTCATGTTTTTTCTTTTATAGTGCCATAAAATTGCCAAGTCTCACTAGCTTATGTGTTCAAAAGTGTTTCAAAATTAGTGAAATGATATGATTGTGTTTATTAGTTCTATCCGTCTATGTAAACTTGGGGATGTGACACGTACCAGGTTTCACTACAATATGTGCTGGTGTGTTGAGTTGACACATCTTTTGGGCAGCTAAAGGCTTGCTACTGTGCTGCCAGCATGGCAGTTTTCAGGGGTTCGTACGATAAAATAAATTGCCTCATCAAATTTAAACAGAAAATAAAAAGGAAATAAAAGGAAACAAATTAAAACTAATAATAAAACAAGACAGAATGGAGAGAAACTGCTGGCTTTCCTCTGCAAGAAGCAGACAAATTACTTTCAGACAAATTACACACGTTTGCAGTCACCATATACTGTATGCTGCAACCTGTCAGAGGGAAGAGAAAAGCAAAACCACCAAACACTAGAAGAAGGGAAAAAATACAATAAAAGTTAAAAGTAAAAAAAAAAAGAATTAGTTACAATGAAATATGGTTATGCATTGAAATAAAAAATGAGGGACATGAAAGGAAGAGACAATTAAAAACAGTGAAGTGTTTGTAGATGTATATATTTATATATGAATGTGTCACGTGTTGGTTTCTGTTTAGTTCCTGTCTGCCCTTATTTGGTTCAGTTCCTGTTCTCGTTTATTTAATCATCGTTCATTAGTTTCCACCTGTGTTGTATTAATCATCTCATTAGTTCCTTTTGTTTGGGTTTTGCTTATAAGTCCTCAGTTCTCCCTAAAGCCTGGCTCACACTACAGGAGTTTTAAAATCCTAACCGATTATGAAATCTGGTTGCAGCACACACATAAGGAGAATCTTTGCAGATTATCTTCTCTCAAATCTTAAACATGCACACACTACAAGATTTGAACATCATGGCGCATCACACACTACAAGATATTATTAAGATTATCATGCCAGAGGGAGCGCCTCACGTGATCACCAGATATCTTGCGATAGGCTTGTTTTTAGTACATTTCTAACGGCATCTGGCAGATCCTGTGTAGGCAGCTGCCTAGGGCCGCTTTCTTCTCTTCTTTATACAAAATTTTAAGCGGTTTCTATAGCGTGATCTTAATGACAAATGTCGAGAGCGCATAATGTTACGCGATCCATGTGATGCGTGAGACAAGAATCTCACTGCAAGAATCCACAAGCGGATTTCCTTCACTCATACAAAACTGGACGTGTGCTTTTAACTATACATAGTTTTTTTTTATTTCATGAATTGGCTCTGTTCTCGCTCAGATATTGCGTGTACACGCTCAAACGTTGTCCTCGCATCCCTGAACACCAGAAGAGCTTTTTTTTTTCTAATTCAGGTGAAGAGTATAGACTTTTCTTACTAAATGGAAACAAAATGGTTATAGTCAGCCTTCTCTAGTTATTTATTTAATTATTTAATACTTATTTTAGTTAAGTGCTTAAATTGTAAATGTGCATTTATGAAATTATTTTATTTAGTGCATTTGTATTTTGTTGTTTTTGTAGGCTATACAATAAAAGCGTACCAACCAGAAATAATCAGGGTGCTTCTGACATTAGTGAGGGTGCTCTAGTCTTAATGCACATTTTCACATATTTTGTCCCACTGCTACGGTTATCACTATGTCAATCACTACTACTTCGAGAGCGAATCCAGCATAAATATGCAGATGTCATTCCTGAAACTTTGCAACGTGTGTGTGGCCGAAAAACAAAGTTCTACATTTTAAATGGATTATTGCCTAAAGCTCGCAAAGAGTGCTCCTTTTTTAACCACTAAAAACTGACACTCTTAGTTCATCGTGATCTCACAAAGTTATGTTATGACCAATGAATCTCACACTGTGCAATTAATATATTATTAACATCGTCGTGTAAACACTCTGTATTATAATGAAAGTTTGCGGTCGCGCATTGGCTATTGTGAAAGTACTGACGTAATCATATAGCCGTCATCATCCCGATTTCAATCCTAAATATCAAACATGTTTGATATGATCGGGGCGGCCCCGATTTGTGTGCGAGCAGATCGGGAGGTGCAAGATTCGATCTGTGAACGCCTCACATTACCAGATAATCCGCGCCGAACATCGGGACCGATCGAGGGGCTCGACAAGATTTTTGCTCCGATTCTCGGGAGGGGGAAATCGGGGCTAAATCGGGCTAAAAATCCTGTAGTGTGAGCCAGGCTTTAGCCTTCGTCCGTTCACCGTCATGTTTGCTCTTTGATGTCTGTGATTTATCTGTCTCCTGGTTATTCTCCTGATTTGAAGTTGGAATTAAAGATTGTGTGCTGGATTACTCCTGCGTTGTGCGCCTGTCTCCTTAGAGCACAGTACTTGTGACAGAATGTATATGTCAAGAAATGGTCTTGAATATTAATTCATAATTGTCTCAATGAAATACAGTAAGTGAAGTTCTAGTTGAAAACAAAACAAAACAATGAGCAGCATTAATGGATTATTTTTTCCTCTGTAAATGCCACCCAATAGCTCCCTTCATAACTCTAAACAATCTTGCAATGTTTTGAGACACTTTTCTCTTTGTAGACTTAAAGATTTCTGTTGTTCACGTCAAGTCTCTAGTTTCTCCTCATTTCTGTGTGTCGCAGGGACGGACTCGGACGCAAGGCGGCATGTGAGTTCTGGTACACTGATCCTGACTAACGTTCAGTACAGCGATACGGCGGTCTATCAGTGCGAGGCCACCAATAAACATGGCAATATCCTGGTCAACACGCATGTCCATGTAGTTGGTGAGAATCAGTAGTGTAACATTTAATCAAATGCACTTTGATTATTTGCATGTGTTTGCACCACGCTGTAGAAAGGCTGGGAACTATCACTCCAGAATGGGTCCGCATGAAGTGATTTCTTGTCAGAATATGGATTTGTGCTTAAAAATAAATTGAACAACAGTTTGTACCTGATTCATGCCATTCTGAAAATCTGCTGTCGGCCTGTTGATTGTTTTCCGTGCTGGATTTTAATAAAAAGCTGAGCTTGTGTCTGTCAGAACTGCCTCCTCAGATCCTGACGGCAGATGGGCTGGTGTACAAGGCCACAGAAGGCCAAAGGGTTCTACTGCAATGCAGAACATTTGGCTCCCCACAACCCAAAGTTGACTGGTGAGCATTTATTTTTTTTCATTTTCTGAACACATTTACTATGTACTAAAGGGATCGTGACATGAGAAATCAATTTTGCCTTATGCTTTTGGCAGATAAGATGTATTTGTACCATTAAAGCATTCTGCAAGTTTCAGAGCTTAAAATATCCTCCTCCTTATAGACAAAGCATTTCTATAATAGGACACTATTTCCTATGCAGTGAAGTTAGCCAGTCATAACAGTGGCCGTTTTCAAGCCCGAAACAGATCACTGCAGACAGTGGCTCAGCATGAGGGTTGAAAAGAATCATTTCTCACATATGTATTTTTATTTTTGTGGAAAAAAGATTTTGAGCCAACATTATAAGTAAACCTATTAACATAGTAACATATAAAAAGAATTAAAAATCCATGAACCCTTTAATAAGAAGCAATGATGTATGTAATCTTTGTAGTTTTCAATGAAAAGACCATTTTATAATACAAATATGAAGTAATTATTTTATAACACATAAAAAAAACAGCTTTTTTCTGGAGGATGTTTTGTTGTTTTGTGTGTATAATCCAGTGGGTTTGAATGTATGCAGGGTGATTTTTGACTCTGGTCCCGCTCTGGCTAATGCTAAAATGTCTCAGACGAGCGATGGAAATCTTCAGATCAGTGACGTGAGTGAAGACGACAGCAACATTTACACGTGCTCAGTGAGGCACAGCAACAGGAGCATCAGTGCTGAGCTGGAGGTCTTGAGTAAGTGCTCTAAATCCATGCGAACCTATCACATTTGACACTGAAGGTACAGTAACTCATCGCTCAACATGCAATCAAAATTAGATAATGTGCTTGCTTAATACACATTACCGGTTACTATGAAAGGATTCTTTTCAAAATGTAGAAAGAACTTTATTTTCTTTTGAGCTTTAGGTCAACAAGGCCACACTCGCTCTTGGTTAATGTTTGCCAAATAGCTCGTTTTTGACATTGTTTAGGCTACTGTTGTACACTGTAAAATCCAATAGTTTACCTTACTTAGATTTAATTAGTTATCTTTACTTAGTTGTTATACTTACTAGGTTTTATTAAGTTACAGCTAATTTCAAGGCAAATAAAACAATTTACTTACTGTTTTGAGTGACACTTACTTAAAATATTCAAGTAGCCACAAAGGAACCAATGACATTAATAAAGCAGTGAGAGGCAGCAGTGCATTAATATGTTGCTAATGTGCAACATAACAACAGCAGAAGAAAAAGAGTCTTAATAGACTTTTCACCCATTTCCTCCATGTCTGCAGTTATCTTTCACTAGTTGCATTCACTCATTTCCCAAAGTCAGCTTGAATGTTGAATTCTCAATACAACTGAAATATTTGAGAACATCACATAAGCTAACTTCATAAATTGATGTTGATTTTCCTAAAATGTGGGGGTTTTTTTATTCACAATTATAGTGATTAGTGTTCCCTTTGGTTGAGCACTTTGAACTTCATTTAAGTTACTATGTTCTTCCTGTTAATGTAGCAATGCATCATGAAGGCAGAGCTTTGATTTCAAGGGAAGAAAAGAAATAAATAGGATGCTTTTAGAAGGTCTAATTAAGATCTTCTAATTAAAACCTTAGTGTATTTTTTTTGTTTGTGTGTTTGTTAATGAACTGTTTCCAATTTCATTTTTCGTAAAATACCTTGAGATGCTATCAATTGGGTTTAAATAATGCTTAAATAGTGTGTAATATTACGCTGAAGTCACACACAGACTTCAACATTCAGCACGTGAATCACAACGATGGTAACAATTACATTTCATTTATTTTCATTAACTGTAACAATAACTATTTAATTTGCTCTTTTTGTTGTGCTACTACTGACACAAGACAGCAAATCAAATCAACAACTGTAAAACAAAGCAACTGTATAATTTATTCATGCCGCAATGCTCTCTGGGAGTCAGTGAGTAGCTATACTAAGTCATGAGTAAACCTAAATGAAAGGATCAAGTACCCCCTACAGTTCTTTTTTAGTTACTAGAACTCTTGTGTAAGTAAACTATACTAACTAAGCATTTGTCAGTACAACAAATTATTCCTATTTCACTTAGTTTTTTCAAGGCAATCGGTTTGCATGCTTTTTTTTTTTTTAAGTAAGCCCAACGAATTCGATTTTACAGTGTAGGTACTGTTCATTTTTCTAAATGGTTTATGCAGTAATTTAATGCTGGTTAACGTTAATGTAAGAAATTGCAGCAACAATAGCAAATAGCAATAGAACAATCCACATCCTAGACAAAAAGCTCCCTCCAATGTTGAAGGAGGGAAGTAGTCCAAAAACCTAGAGCAAAATCACATTCAGGTCTGACTCCTTTGTGCTATACGGAACATCCATTTTTTATACTTTATGGGTAAAATTGAATCTTTCTTCTGTAAGTTACATTAATGGAGCAAAATGGCTCATGAATGTCGTTTCATGTTATTGTCTCCAGACAGAACTAAGATTGTGAACCCTCCCCAGGATCTACGGGTTTTACGTGGAATTGATGCTGTTTTACACTGCAAATATACAGTGGACCACAAGTTAAAACAACCCACAATTCAGTGGAAGAAGGACAAACACAAGATCACATCATCTGCTAATGATGACAAGTAAACACACCATTTAAACCATTTCAAACCAGCCATATCTCTGCTAATCGGCAGTCGTCAAACTGCTGCCAAAGTTATTAGTGCACAGTTTCTGTTGATTCTGTTCATTTTTGTTTATTTCGAGTAAATATTGTGTAAAAGTTAATTTACATTTTATCAGCCACTGGCCGCTCTCTTTCGAGATACCATATCAGTGTGTGCAACTAACTGAGCAAAGCAAACCCATGAGCACGTAAACATCACACACAGCTATAACCTCAGTGTGGCCAAAACCAGCTGCTCATGTCTTGTAAGAATTGCATTTATTGCAGTGGTGTTTATAGTTTGCGATTTCAATGGCTGCAGATACACTGAATATGCAGACGGCTCTCTGAAGATCACTGACGTTCAGGTGGAGGACACAGGATCCTACAGCTGTGAGATCAGCACTAAACTAGACTCGGTCAGCGCCACCGGCTCCATCACCGTGCTGGGTGAGTCTGTCACTCCCACATACCAAATACAATCTGGTTTTACATTTCACTGGTTCTTAAAGACATGGATGTGGTGGACACTCCTCAGATAAACCTGGTTCTCCTCACTCTCTGGAGCTGTCTGAAAAGATGGACCGTAGTGTCACGCTATCCTGGACGCCAGGCACTGAAAACAACAGTCCTGTGTCTGGTAACTGAAATCAAATCTTTGACTACATTCAGAAAAGCCCACCGCTCACCCTCTTCTATCATTTATTCAGTTTATTCAATTGACATCAGTAAGCATCATTAGAAAGGTGTTTATTACATTTTTGACCTCTGTTTTATTATAAACTTCTTATATTGTCAGTAATTTATTCATGAGTGTGTAATATGAAAAAGAAAAAAAACTCCTGCTGGCTTCTCATCAGAGCCCTTTACAAAACACTGCTCCTCAGTGGTGATTGATGGATTCTTCTGTTTACTTTTTATTTTTCCCCCAAAATGAAACGATGTGAGTGCTCAGAGCCGCTACAAAAAAACAAAACAAAACCGAAAAAACCCTCTCCTTTTAATAAGGGGAATGAGTTTTCTCAAGAACCATACTTACTTGTAAACTAAATATCCGGACTGTACAGCAGACATTTGTCATTTGATTTGTGAGTAAAAGATCTGACTTTACACATTTTTTTCCATAAATCAGACATTGCTACAGTTGGATTGTGTGACCTTTTATATCTGTTGTCCACCAGAGTATGTAATTGAGATGAAAGAGGAGCAGAATCCAGAAAAAGGCCAGTGGGAGGAGTACAGTAGAGTTTCTCCAGACATCAGACACCTGGAGATCCATCTGCAGTCGTACAGCACATACCACTTCCGGCTCAGAGCTGTTAATGGCATAGGAACCAGTGAGCCCAGTCCTCCCTCAGAGTCCTACAGCACACCAGCAGCCAGTAAGACACTTACTGTTTATCATAATAATGACACAGACATATAAAAAGTTTTTTCACTGCAAAAGTGACTTTTCATCCTCTGTATTTAATAGTCTTGTATCTTGATTTATGAATCTTTAAATAACTGGACTAGAAAACATTTCCTTGACATGCAAAATGGCATAAGATTCAGAAAAATAAGTGTTAAAATCAAGCGAGTTTTCTGCTTAAAACGAGACAAAATAAGAATAATAGACTTAATTCAAATGGAAAACAACATTAGTTTTCTGACTTCATGTATTTCAATATTTCTCAAGAACCATACTTACTTGTAAACAAAATATCCGGACTGTACAGCAGACATTTGTCATTTGATTTGTGAGTAAAAGATCTGACTTTACACATTTTTTTCCATAAATCAGACATTGCTACAGTTGGATTGTGTGACCTTTTATATCTGTTGTCCACCAGAGTATGTCATTGAGATGAAAGAGGAGCAGAATCCAGAAAAAGGCCAGTGGGAGGAGTACAGTAGAGTTTCTCCAGACATCAGACACCTGGAGATCCATCTGCAGTCGTACAGCACATACCACTTCCGGCTCAGAGCTGTTAATGGCATAGGAACCAGTGAGCCCAGTCCTCCCTCAGAGTCCTACAGCACACCAGCAGCCAGTAAGACACTTACTGTTTATCATAATAATGACACAGACATATAAAAAGTTTTTTCACTGCAAAAGTGACTTTTCATCCTCTGTATTTAATAGTCTTGTATCTTGATTTATGAATCTTTAAATAACTGGACTAGAAAACATTTCCTTGACATGCAAAATGGCATAAGATTCAGAAAAATAAGTGTTAAAATCAAGCGAGTTTTCTGCTTAAAACGAGACAAAATAAGAATAATAGACTTAATTCAAATGGAAAACAACATTAGTTTTCTGACTTCATGTATTTCAATACATTTAGAAATATTTCTGAAAAATATACATTTATATATGTGGTCTACAGTCTACATCATAGACTCTTAAAAAACCTGGGGTCTCCTTTAAATATAAGGAAAACTGCAATGGAAGTTCCCCCCCAATCTCGTGAGAAAACCTAATTATTTTACAAGGTGGTGATTTTGTATGAATTGGTGCGATGCATGACCACCGATAAACATTTATTTGCTAAAACTTAAAATTAGGAGCTGCCATGAAAGCTTTCATTTGTGAGAAATTGGTTCATTTTGATTAGGAAAGCCTTTATTGTATTAATGGATCTCTCTTGCGCACAGTACCGGACATGAATCCAGAGAATGTGACGACGGTGTCTACTGATCCAAACAGTATGGTCATCACATGGAAGGTGATTAACAGTCCTCCACTAGAGGAAAAGTCTCCATTCTGCAGATTTCATCAAACACTTCTGAAGGCGTTCAGTGCTGATCTTTACAGGCAGGAGTTTTGGAGCACAGTTTGAGCTGAAGTCTGCAGGATGGTAGCTCTCCAGGAGTCTTCTCCAAAAGATAAAGCCAGATTACACATGACAAAGAGAAGATGATTTTGAAGTAATCGTCATGTTTAATCTCCTTTCTTACACTTTTACACTTGGAAGGAACTGGAGCAACGGCAATTTAATGGACCAGGATTTGAGTACAAGATCTACTGGCGTCAAGCTTCAGGCAGAGGTCCACACTGGAAGGAAAGCAGCGTCTCACATCCTCCGTTCATCGTGAACGGCACCGGGACCTTCATCCCCTTCGAGATTAAAGTTCAGGCAGTCAATGATCTTGGTGCAGGACCAGAACCAGTTGCTAAGATTGGCTACTCGGGGGAAGATGGTGCGTTTTCTAACATTTTCCTGCTTCAGTTCCCAGCTTTTCCAGAAACATAATTTTTCAGTACATAAAAAAAAAAAATTTAATTTTGAAAAGAGTATTAGTAATCTTTTGACAGTTTCATAGTAATGCCTGTCAATCTCTCACAGTACCTCTGGAAGCTCCTTCAGAGGTGGCAGTGACCGAGCTGAACAAAACCTCTGTCCTGGTAAGATGGAGTCCGGTCAGCATGGAATCTGTCCAAGGACACTTACTCGGCTACAAGGTACATGATCTATAAACCATCATTTATAGTTTCTGCACTTGGCTGCTGATTCTCATAGCTGTGTATTTTCTCTCTCTCTTTCTTGAGATCCATCTGCGAAAGAAAGGCCCCAGAACTCACAGCCGAAGAGGCCTGCCGATGCACGCTCCAGTGGCTGACAAGTACAGAGAAATCGAGGTTTATGGAAATAAGGTGGAGACGGTCCTGAGCAACTTGCAGTTATACTCAGACTATACTCTGACAGTTGCAGCTTTCAACAGCAGAGGTGAAGGTCCGCGCTCGATTGAGTATCACTTCACCACTCCAGAGGGCGGTAAGGTCACTTTTAACAGCGCATGTGAAAACCTCTATGGGTAGCACTTTATAATAAGTAAGGAATAATTGACTCCGGGCCATTGAATTATTAGAAAAATAATGCAAACCCGAGGTGGTGATGCGGCCACAACCAGAATCACCCATGGCCGTTACACCTCGGGTGTGCATTATTTTTCTAATAATTCAATGGCCCGGAGTCAATTATTCCGCTTATACTACGGTTACCACACCTCAAGACATCAATCAGATGATATATTTAAAGGGATCCGTCCGGTTTTTGTACTTAAATCGCTATTGTGAGTAGGATTATTTCTTCCGCATCTCATCCAACGCCTCTTTTGCTAGTTCCAACACGTCATTTTAAAGCTGGTAATGGAGGCTTGAGCCATTGATAGCATTCTAATGCAGTTATTAATTAAGTTATTAGAAAGAGAGCGAGAGAGACAGAGACGCACAGAGAAAGAGAGCGCTTTTGTGAATTAGGCTACCTCTGTGCATCCCTCAACAGTGTTCTGCAGCAGCATCTCTAAACAGCGCTGTTATTACCTCGCTAGTGAGAAATGTCATGTGTAGCCTTTAAGTTGCTACACTATGCAGGCTAACTGATCAAATCGTCAGGGCAGCGCTGACAACACCTTTTTGTGCAAACTGCGTGACCGTATTGTGCATGTGCGAGCACGTGTGATTGCAGTAATTCCTGTGTGCTGTATAGGTACTGTATGCTAATTTCCGTTATTACAGTTAACTATGCGAAGTGATATGGAACTGTAATGCGGACAAGAGAGCTGCCTGGAACTACGTTCGCCGTGCGTTTCCCTGAAAATAATTGCACACCTCAGAATGTTCATCAGCCAATCAGATTCAAGCATTCAATGGCCCTGTAGTATAACTTTCATTAACAAACATTTATATAATGCTTAACAGATCATTAGTTAAGGTAAATTTAAATTCTTACAAATGTCAGTAAACTTTCAATTCATATGATCATGTACTTTTTTAAAAATCTTCAAATTATTTTGACAGATGGTTTACAATGATTAAAAGCTTCATTAATAAATCATTAACAAATATTATGTAACGCTTAACTGATCATTAGTTAATGCTTAAATGTCATTAAACTTTCAATTCATACAATCATGCACTTTATTAAAAATATACTAATGATTTTAAGTGACAGGACTCTGAGCAAACAGACGTGATGTGACGTGACTCTGGACAAACAGCTGTGATGTGACGTGACTCTGGCCGAACAGCTGTGATGTGACGTGACTCTGGCCGAACAGCTGTGATGTGACGTGACTCTGGCCGAACAGCTGTGATGTGACGTGACTCTGGCCGAACAGCTGTGATGTGACGTGACTCTGGCCGAACAGCTGTGATGTGACGTGACTCTGGCCGAACAGCTGTGATGTGACGTGACTCTGGCCGAACAGCTGTGATGTGACGTGACTCTGGCCGAACAGCTGTGATGTGACGTGACTCTGGCCGAACAGCTGTGATGTGACGTGACTCTGGCCGAACAGCTGTGATGTGACGTGACTCTGGCCGAACAGCTGTGATGTGACGTGACTCTGGCCGAACAGCTGTGATGTGACGTGACTCTGGCCGAACAGCTGTGATGTGACGTGACTCTGGATGATCAGCTGTGATGTGACGTGACTCTGGACGAACAGCTGCGATGTGAAGTGACTCTGGACGAACAGCTGCGATGTGACGTGACTCTGGATGATCAGCTGTGATGTGACTTGACTCAGAAAGAGCAGCTGTGACTTGACTTGACTCAGAAAGATCAGCGGTGACTTGACTCGACTCAGGAAGATCAACTGTGACTTGACTCGACTCAGGAAGAGCAGCTGTGACTTGACTTGACTCAGAAAGAGAAGCGGTGACTTGACTTGACTCAGAAAGATCAGCGGTGACTTGACTTGACTCAGAAAGATCAACTGTGACCTGACTTGACTCAGAAAGATCAACTGTGACCTGACTTGACTTAGAAAGAGCAGCTGTGACTTGACTTGACTCATGAAGATCAGTGGTGTCCTGACTTGACTCATGAAGATCAACTGTGACATGACAAAGCATTGTTGTCGCTGCCATTTTGTAAACGGACTCCGCTGTTGCCGCCATGATAGGCACGGACGTGACGTTGCGTTCCTCCTTCGTGACACCCACGGTGAATGAGGAACCAACAGACAACAGAGCATAATCCATAAACTGAGCGAGTGACGAACGCGGACCCTCGCGTCTAAACTCAGATTGTAGAGATTGATTAATGCCATCACAAAAAAACTCTATCAAAAGACAGTCCGGTAAATCTGAATAGTGCGCGATTGCTAAATATTCTCGAATATAGTTCTCCAGGGATCGTGGGTCTTGTTTAAGTGCTAATAATATTCTTGCTGTGTCCATACCTGACCAATGTTCCTCTGAAAAGCTGCTGGATCCTTGTGGGGCCAAGTATTCTGTAACGGAGCCGATGAGACGAGAGGCATGCGGATCCATATGCAAGCTTTTATTTACAGGCATGGTCAACACAGGCAAGAGTCGGACACCAGCAAACAGATATGTTGAGGGCAAGACAAAAGAGTAATCCAAAACAAGCAATAATCCAATCGAGTCCGAAACAGCAAGGCAAAGGCTAAATCCAAGACAGGCTATAAACCTCAGGGCAGGCAGAGATCAGACAGGACGAGATAACAGTCTAGGATCAAGACACAGGAAACCAGACTATGAAAAAGGCTAGACTCAGGAACTTGGAATAGCTCCGTAAAGTAGCTATCCCTAGGTGAGAGATAAATACTAAACAGTACTCAGCGACTTGAGCAGGATCTGAGTGGGTGTTATATAGTGTGTGTAATAGCTTTCAGGTGAGCATGTGATTGGTTACAGCTGTGTGCAATCAGTGCAATGGATGATGGGAAATGCAGTCCAGGGTGATGTGTAACTGTCTGTGTGGTGTGAGAGTCAGTATAATGGGAGAGCGACCTCTGGTGGCAACTGGACGGAAGGCCACGGACCAGATTCATGACAGTTGTGTAGACTTCTTCTATTTACACATATTTATTAATCATTTATTAATTATTTGTTCATATTTTTGCAGTAGCAAATCTAAAGTTGAAACTATTCATCATTTGTAAATGTTTATAAATGATTACTAATCATTTACTATCTTTATGGTCACTGGACTTTTGGCTACTGTAACAAGGTTTGTGTAAAGGGTGGCTGATTAAATTTAGATAAATGCTTGCTAAACAAAAAACAAACAAAAAAACACTCACATTAGTATACTACTCTCCAGTATATCATTAAACAGGATATTCCTTGAATCATAAATAAACAGGAGGAAACGAATCATTTTTTTAAAGAAAATACTTGTTCATTTATCAAAACAATATAATATAAGCAGATTGAACCGTGTTCCTTTATAATAATCAAACTGACCCCTGTACACTGTTGACCCTTTAACCAACCCATAAACCTACCCATACCACCAAACCTGTCCCTAACCTACCCGTATCACACCTCAACAGCAGCAGAAGTGTTGTGCATTAACACAAGCTTTTCATCATTGTATAACATCTGTTAAAATCATTTGTAGATTTTCAATAAGTGCTTGATCATATGAATCGAAAGTTTAATGACATTTGTAAGCATTTTAACTTGCATGAAATAATAATTTGTTAATCGTTAGATAATGTTTAATAATTAGTAAACATTACCAAGAACAAAGCTTTTCATCATTGTATAACATCTGTTAAAATCATTTGTAGATTTTCAATAAGTGCTTGATCATATGAATCGAAAGTTTAATGACATTTGTAAGCATTTTAACTTGCATGAAATAATAATTTGTTAATCGTTAGATAATGTTTAATAATTAGTAAACATTACCAAGAACATTATATCATGTTTCTAGCTATGTGAATATATTTATATTAACTAATGATCTGCTAAGCATTATATAATGTTTGTTAATGATTTATGAATGAAAGTTATTATAAAGTGCCACCCTTCTATGAATGTGGATTTAGATCAGCTGAACTTGTGCTCTTCTGGCATCCAGCTCCTGGACCAATTTCATTCTTGACCTTCGAGAGCCCCTCAGAGACAGAGATCACCCTGCGCTGGGGAGCTCCAGACAAACCCAACGGGGCGCTCACAGGCTACCTGCTGCAGTACTACGAAAGTGGGTGAACTCAAACTTTTTATTTCAACTGTATTTGCACTTTATATAATACAGATAGCTTTGAAACCGATTTACAGTACATTTACAGCAAATTCTAATTTTGAGAGACAATTATAAATACAGCTTATTTAAGCAGCAAAGCAAATAATACAGTATCAGTGAATTAAGAGATTAAATTGTTTCTGTAAATAGTAGACATTGACACAGCTTGTTTACCTTGGAGATATGCTTATGTGATTTTTAAACAGCTTTACAAAGAGAAGCTTAATGTGAAGTCTTTTTCATTCTGATGGGTTTCTGTTCTATTCTCTGTTTAGCTGTGCCTGGGATTTCGAGCCCACAACAGGTGGAGTCCATCGATCTGCCCCTTGTTACTGAGTTCACACTGAAGGGTCTGAATCCTCAGAGCCTATACCACTTTGATCTTCGAGCACGCACCGCTGCTGGTGATGGGGAACCTATAGTAAGGGAGGGCGCCACCTTGCTGGATGGAGGTGAAACTGCACAGCATTCTCATTGTTTAGTGTGTTAGCAGGACACAATATAATCTACAATATTGTATTATCTACATGTTCCCTCTGCAGAACCACCATCTGCAATCAACATAACTGCTGGACAAACATTGGTTAATGTCAGTTGGGTGCCAGGAGAAAGGCAGCGTAACTTTGCCTTTAGCTTCCATTACCTGAAAAAAAGTGGTGAGTCTGATCAAGGTTAAGACAAAACTTTTGTTCTACTTTTCCTGAATCCTGAAGGAATGAAACATGTCATAGTGCAGAGGTGGGCAAACTTTTTAGACCAGAGGGCCACATCAAGTTTTGCAAACCAAGTGAAGGGCCACATGCCAAATCCTTGATAAAATAACTTTTATTTACTGTGGAGGTATGCATGGAGCATATATTATCTGAGAGAAACATTTGTCACATTAACACATTAAACAAAAATTATTATTTAATATCTGTTATTGAGTCAAATTTACAACAGACAATCTCGTTTGCACTGCATATCAATCATCATAAAACTATGTCTGATAAAACTGAAGGAGAACCTTAGTATTTGTCTTTCCAAGTCATGGTTATGAGTGTGTTAATGTGAACATGAGCCTGGTCCCCTCTCCTTGCAAGGGTGTCAAAGTCTGGAGTGATCTGTGATGTAGAGATCCTCAGGATAGCTGACAAGTGGCCGTTTGTTCAATTTGATCTACGGTGGGATTTGTTGTAGTTCATGACTGAGTAGGTTTGTTCACACACATATATGGATCCAAATAAAACAAGCATTCTTTGGGCATGCTATTTAATGTTTGGGAATTTTTTTTCATTCAGTGAGGCATAAAACTGGTTAACTGGTGCTGTCTGAAACTTTTCCTTCAATGTACTGTCACACTGCATGTCGATGAGTTCCAGTTGTGTGTCTGGTGGTGCTTTCTCACTGTCAAAAGATAGGGGGCATGAGACAAGTTCAAGCTCAGTCTCAATTTTTGCAAAGTCTGTGAAGCGACGGGAAAATTCTGCATGGAGGTCGATCAAAGTGCTGCTGTACCTCTCAATGCGAGACTGTGTTATTGGTGTGCTTAGTCCGGTCAGTGTAGGAAAATTAGCGAAATCTCGACTGGATATCTGTCTGGAGAACAGTACAAGTTTGGCCTTGAACGCTTTCACGTTGCTGTACAGTTCGTGCACAAAAACGTCCTTTCCCTGAAGTCTCAAATTAAGATAATTCAGATGCCTCAGTGTGTCGACACTGAACGTGAGGTTGGCCAGCCAGTCTGTGTCTTGTAATATGGGGAAGTCGTCAGTTTTGCCAATCGTATTGAGGAACGTTGCTATCTCACCTTTTAGTTCCCAGACACAGTGAAACACATTGCCAAGACTTAGCCAGCGCACATTTGAATGGTACAAGAGGTCATGGTGCTCTGCCTCTGTTTCATTAAGCAGCTGAATGAACTGCCGGTGGTTCAGCACTCTTGCCTGTATAAAGTTGACAAGCTTCACAACCATTTTGACATTTTCTAGCTTCGACACACTTTTACGCAAGGCTTCCTGGTGTATGATGCAGTGAAGAAATATCAGTTCTTCTGAGTTCGGGTTTTTGACTTTTACTTTGTCTTGTAACCTTTTTAGCAGTCTAGTGTTTTTACTGGTTAGATTTGGTGATCCATCTGTTGTGACGCTTGTCAGCTTTCTCCACGGCAGGTTATTTTTTTCCAGGCAGACGGACACACTGTCATACAAATCCATGCCCCTGGTC